CCCCAAAACCCCAAAACCCCAAAACCCCATTGATAAGATTTTGTTTTTTTATGTTATTGTAATTAATGCAAATGAATATAATAGAGTAATTATTTATTTGATGATTGAAATAGAGAAAGGTGTTAATTATCTCATTCTGGATTGTTAGTAGTTAAATTTAACTAGAACTCTCAAACGAAAAAAGGATCACTACTAACAATGCTACCTATCCCAATCAGGAAGTTCTTATCAAATATTCGACTAACTTAAGATCTAAACTGGTATTTCTGTGTCTCAGCATGCATTTATACTTTCAAGGCTACGTATTTAACATATAATGCAGCTAAGACAGAACCTGTATACGGTCCTAGAATATAAGCCGGTAAAAAAGGAAGAGAATCGTGTGATTTTAAAGCTATTACACAAAATATGACATTGCATAACCCCACATTTGGATTCATTAAAGCCCCTGTTATCTTACCAATGCATCCCATACAGAAATTAATTCCAAATAGAGAACCAAATACACCAGGGACTGTATCACTAAATAAAGATAATCTTGCATGCTTTCCAAATAGAATATTGAGCATCATTATGAAAGTAAAAAATGTCTCCATGAAATATACATAAAAGCCTGAATAATTTAAGTTATCTGGCTTTATAAAGGCTATCTTATTTCCTAGGAATAGATACGATATCCACATACCCATAAAACCTCCAATTAATTCAGCAATAGTATAAACTATTAGGCAAATCCATTGTTCTTTAAATTTATCTTCGACAATATAAACTGCTAATGATAGTCCCATATTAAAGTGCGCACCTGTTTATCTACAAGTCACCATACATGCTGCGTAAATCCCAGCTAAAACTATGTTGTTATTTCCTTAACTGAAATTAATTCCAATAAAAAGCAAAGCTGTGCCAATGATTTCATAAAGGAATACTAGCCAATAACCTGATGTTTTTTCAATACTAAAATTTCCTGTCTCCATAACTTTTCCCCAATAATAATAAAAGTATGATTATAATAATTATATGATTATATCTTACAATAATTTAATACCTAATTCAGTCTGCTTTATTTAATGATCACGGGGTTTTGGGGTTTTGGGGTTTTGGGG